ATATATATATAATCCCAAAAGGAAACATTTTATACAAGGTTCATCATTTTACTATGCTATTGTATTTGATGGGACTTAAGCATCCATGTATTTTGATATCCATGGGGGTCCTGGGACCAAACCTCAGTGGATACCAAGGGCCAACTGTCTATAACTACTGTAATTGTTTTCTTCCCAAGTTAAAACCAATTAAATAAGGACTAATGTTACTTTTCCAAGCACCATACTGAGGAATGCCAATGAATTGTGTACTACAGTATATCTTTCCGAGCTCACCTCCTATAAAAAGGAGTCAGAACAATGCTGTTTGCATTGTCGGGTCATTATTTTAAAAAGGAGAAGTGAGTGGAAAAATCCAACTAAATGCTGAAATCATTCATCTTGGCACCTCAGCCCTTAAAGTGCGAGTGTGAAATGTCTAGGTAATGTCCCCAATTTGGTGCAAAAACGGATTTATTATTATTATTATAATTCCAAATGATAAATCTATCCTTTGCTCAAGGCTATTCACTGGCTGTGTTGTCACTTAGCGCACAAGTGTTTTGGAAGAGAGGGGCCTTCGAAGGATGGAGGGGTGGATGAATCTGATGGCTGGTATAAATAAAGAGAGAAGCTCTGCCCAAAATTGGGGGCAGAAGTCACTTGTGGGCCTGGAAGTCTGCTGGGTGGAGGATATTGCATGGGAGGTGCTGTGGGTGAAAGTTGCTGTTTGCAAGACCTATATCACCATCATGCTCACTGCTCTTCTCTTCGTTGTCCTCCTCCTGGCTATTGTCCTGTTGAGCTGGTGGCATGTGGGGCAATGTCAAAGGAAAGATCTGAGGGATCTGCCCGGCCCCCGGGCATTGCCCCTCATTGGCAATCTCATCTACATGTTCCAACCTAACCTCCCCATCCATTTGCTTGAGTTGGCCCGTCAATATGGACCGATCTACCGCCTGCGCCTTGGGAACACAGGTGAAACTGGGCATGCAACCAGTGGCATTGGTGTGGCTGTGGTGGGAAGGGGCAGAGCTCAGAAAGATTACTTGAAGGTGAAGTCGTAGGCTTTCATGGCTGGCATCCATAGTTTTTTGTGGGTTTTTCGGGCTGTGTGGCCATGTTCTAGAAGAGTTTCTTTCTGACGTTTCGCCAGCATCTGTGGCTGGCATCTTCAGAGAATACTGGAATGGAAGAGAGTGGGTCTATATATACTGTGAGACCCTGGGTAGGGAGGAGGATTCCCATGTAAACTGTATATTCATAATAACTATTCAACAACAGAACAATACACAGTTTATATGGGAATCACTCCTCCCTACCCAGGGTCTCACAGTAGATATAGACCCACTCTCTTCCATTCCAGTATTCTCTGAAGATGCCAGCCACAGATGCTGGCGAAACGTCAGAAAGAAACTCTTCTAGAACATGGCCACACAGCTTGAAAAACCCACAAAAAACTATTACTTGAAGGCATTGCGACTCCCAGAATCCCCTCATTAGCACGACCTCTTGGGTGGATTCTGGAAATTCTAGTCCGAAAAAGTAACTTTTTGTTGTTGGGGTGTGTGTGGTTTGGTTGCGGTAGTCAGCGAGGAGGTTAACATTGACCTTTGTTAAAGACTTTTAGTGGTTCTTTGTATTTTTATGATTGATGCTGCCTTCCCAAGCTATTTTATATTTCTACTTTTATAGAAAGTTTTTGTATGGTTTGAATCTGTATTGGTCTAGCTGCCTTGAGCCTCATTATTGAGAGAAAGGCAGGATATAATTATAATATAGGATTATATATATAAATTATTATTTAAGTATAGTCTCGCTGAGTTAATTATAAAGAACAAATTTTAGGGAATTCATATTTTGATTAGGGGAGCAAGGAAATTTCATAAATTGAGCAAATACTCATTCATTTGGAAGACAAAGAAAGTGTCATGGAAACTTAATGCTATGTTCAAGAGACATAACTGCCTTTTTTGTTTGTTTGTTCTATGTTTTGTCTTTGTAGTGCGTTTGGATTTGGATTTTTTGTGGGGAGGGGGTGTGGGAGTTAGTGTATAGGTAGTGTATTAGTATATATGTTATGTGTTAGGTGTTATATGTTAGGACGGTGTTATATATGTTTGTGTTTTTCGTGTAAATTTTTTTGTAGAATATATGTGTATGATTGAATTTTGTACATAAAAAATAAAAA